TACTACTACTACTACTACTACTACTCCTGCTGCTGCTGCTGCTACCACCACCACCACCACCACCACCACCACCACCACCACCACCACCACTACTCTTACTTCTACCACTACAGAACCCAAAATAGCAGTCGCCTATATAACCACCTATATAACCTGCCTCAAACCTATATAACCTCCTTTAAGGCACCTAGTGCTGACAAGGCACACACAGCTGCCGCAAATTGTTTTCATCTCCCAGAAGCCGAGGAGCCTGGACCAGCCTCGGGCTCTACCGGCTCTTCATAGACTGGGACACGAGATATGGGGTTATATAAGGATTAGCGACATATTGCGGGTACCCTTTAAAGGGGGATATAGGGGTGATATAGGGGTGATATAGGGGTGATATAGGGTTGAGAGGGTTTATGGATTAGGGTTTAGGGATTGGGCTTTCCCAAAATTAGAGGTACTTTATTGGGGGTGCCCATAATGAGGATTAGAAAATTTTGGGGTGTATATTGGGGTCCTTTATTTTGGGAAACTACCATGTAGGGATTATGGACATATTCTGGTGCCTTTGAACGGATGAAAAAACGGATTACATCGGATTTAGGTAACATGGAGAATGAAATAGAAAAAACTGTAGATGAAATGCAAGCTGGGGGCTAACCAGTCGTGATAGCGTAAGCTTGTATGGGGGGTTCCACAAATGGGGCACCCCAAATTAGACCTGAATGTTCTGGAATACTTCTTCGAGGACTCCCAAAAGGGGGCACTGATTGTTGGAACCCCAATATTACTCCAATATTAACTCAATATAACCCTAAACACTAAACCCCTTTCATCCAAGCGGCTCAGCTGTGCCTGCAAGCTCACCAGCTAGATCTTTCACTGCCTCGCGGAATGAGCACACTTCCACATCCCACAAAGAAATCAGCCCCAAACTTGAGCTCAGGCATGCAGGACACTAGCTACCACTTGCTGAAGTGTCTGGTGCAGCACTGGTCTTGGTGTTTTCAGAGCCCGGGAATGCAGCGCCTTGCTACCTGCTGGAGCATCTGTCATGAGGAAAAGCCTGCCCAAAGCGCGGGGTTGTCATATGCTTGCCCTGCTTCCCACCCACCTGAGGTGGAACATGTTCTGCATGGCCTCGTCAGCTTTCGCCTTTGCAGATGCTCGCGCAGAGTCGCCGCAAATTCTGAAACCTGCGCGAGCTCTGCCTCACAGGGTTCTTGTCAAGCCGTCGACCCTCCAGGACGTCCACTAGTTATGCAAACATGTCGCTCAAGCACCCATCGACAGACACCAGAGGCTAGTATGAACGGACTTGCCTGTTCCAGCTTTCGCGGGTGCGGCCCAAGGAACCAATCACCCTGTCAAATGCTCTATCACGCATCTGGGCATACCCTGCGCAGCTTGAGTGCATGTTAAGCCTTCCGCCAGTGCGCTGCCATGTATGGAAGACGTCCAAAAGACTCTTCACTCCTTTGCAGGTCACAGGAGGAGCCTGCATGCCATCCAGAAAAGAGTCCACAGCCTCCTCGTGCCAGCTCGGAGTTTCAATTTCCTGGCCACCTCCGCAGCTCGCCTGCAAGTCCACATGGCAGAATTCACAAGTAGCGCTCAGCTTGACACGGTGGTGTAGATTCGGAGGATGCACTGAACTAGCTTCTAGTGGCACTTGGCTCTATACAGAAGACATCTTTCTTCTTGCATCCGAGATACCGCAGAACCCATTGAGAGAATTGAAGCCCGCGCCAAATCCTCAAGGGTACAGCTGCAAGCACGATGTCATTGTGCATATTGTTGCATCCCTGAACCCTACACCCTAAATAGTATTTCCATTGTCTTTTCCATTATCCTTTTTCTAACCCCCTACATACCAGAGTAGTTTCCATTTCACTTTCCATTATCCCCCCTATTTAACCCCATTGTAGTAGTTTCCGTTTTGTTTTCCACTATCCCTAAACCCTAAACCCTACAGTAGCTTCCATGTTCTTTTCCATTATCCCGATATAAACCCAATATATACCCTATAATCCCAATATAACCTCTATAATCCCTGTAGTTTCCATTTTCTTTTCCATTATCCCTATATAACCCCTCTATAACCCCTATATAACCCCTATATAACCCCTAGAAAACCCTATAAAAACCCTATAAAACCTTGAAGCTCTGAGGCAACTACGATGTGTAGTAGGAGTACGCAGACAGGTGACCATATCGGCCAGGATGCAGGCGTGCTCGTTCAGCACCCTTGCAGGGGTTGAGGCTATATTGGGGTTATAATGGGATTATATTGGAGTTATATAAGGGTTATATTAGGGTTATATTGGGGTTATAATGGGGTTATATTGGAGTTATATTAGGGTTATGTTAGGGTCATATTGGGGTTGTATTAAGGTTATACTAGGCTTATATTGGGGTTATATTAGGGTTATGGTGGGGTTATATTGGGGTTATTTAAGCTATATGACCCCCTATAATGGAGAATTAAATGGAAAAGAAAATAGATGTAATGGAAGCGGTAATACAGGGATTTCAGGAACGTACTTTAAGTTACTTTTTTGAGGAGACCATTTTAATTACTACATTATGGCAACTTAATAGCGCCCCCGCGACCCTAAGCCCTGAAACGCGGTTCTGTAGTTCTGTAGTTCTGTATCCCAATGACCTGATACGCTTCCCCCTTTCCTTTCCCAGGCCTTTGGCTAGCTGGGTATGAAGGACTGGAAAAAGAAAATGGCAACCATTATGATGGGTTGAGGGTCTAGGGGTTAGAAGGAATGGAAAAGAAAATGGAAGCTACATAAGCTACCGTAATGGGTTTAGTTTAGAAGGAATGGGAAAAATTAACAACTACTATAATGGGTTATCTAGGGACTACTAGAAGGATCCATTCCTCCATTCCTAGCTAACCAAAAGTAAGTTGCTGCAAGCGACCTGCCTCAATCCAGTAGAGATAAAGCCCCACCTTGGGCACCCGGGCAGGACCCCAATGATAGCGCCAAGCATGAGCAAAAAAGCCATTTGCAATGAATCTTCTGGTCAACGGTAGTGAGCCGCCCTTTCTGACGAGGAGCAGAGGCCCAGCTTTTTCCTGATGACTTCGCCATGGAGACTGCTGTCTGCACCTCGCAACACAAGGAGCTCAGCGAGCCAACTCAGAGGGCCATGAATGTTTGATTCTCCAACAATGCAAATCTTTAACCGGTCATGCCCAGGCACAGTTTCTGCAAACCGGCCATCATCCAACAGGCGAAGCTCAAAGCCTGAAGTGAACCAATTTGACATGGGCGGTTCGGGATGCCTGAACACAAAGGCTTCAGGAAACTGTTACAACTTGCATCCACACTAGCTTTCACAAATCTCTATGTCCTGCTTCAGGGTTTGCGGAGATCGCGGCGAATCGGCTCTGCTTTCCAGTTGTGAAGTTCAGATGCTGGGCCAGATTGAGTTCCTGAGACACCTCCCCAAAGATACAGAAAAAGTTGACAAATAGCACCTGTCGTGAATGCAACCGATGCTCGTCCTTGGAGTGATCCTTTCCCAGCTTGTCAATTGCTTGCTGCTGCATTCAGACTGTATGGCACAGCTCGTCCTACCTAAATACTAATAATAATTCATACTAAAAACTCAGACTAATAATCATACTAAGACTACTACTAATCGCTAAATAATAAATCCAATTCATAAAAATAGTAGTAATAGTAATAATAGAAATAGTACTAATAATAGAAATAGTACTAGTAATGCCATCTCTTGCCCTGGGTCCGAGAAAGGTACCATTCGTGTGCTGCGTGTTGCGCACACAAACCTTAGCAGGGGTTTGAGCAACTAAGAAACTAGTTCCTGAACCCCTAACCGCTAAACCCTAACCCCCCAAACTCTGAACCCCGTTTAAGCCACTAAGAATGATTGAAGCCACTCTGACCAGCTATGTCCTTGGCACTTCGAGGAATTCTGCAACTTTTTCATTTGCCAGGCGGCACGGCGCTGGACGTTTATCTTGGACTGGTAGAAACCTGCAACTGGTACTTTCCCAAAATAGGGGGACCCCAATATAGAACCCCGATTATTATAGTCCTTATTATAGGGACCCCCAAAATGGTAACCCTAATTTTGGGAACTACCCAACTTTCTTCGGCTATAACTGAAACTACGTGGGCCTCGGGACTCTATCTGCATAAAAATTGAAGTGTGCCTGCTGCCTAGCAGGTAAGCTGTGTAGAAAGTGACTGCTATACCTGCAGCCTACTTCAGCCCGAATGAAGGCCAGAGGTGCATACATTGTGCAAAACATATATAGGGGATAATGGAAAAGAAAATAGAAACTACAGGGTATAGGGTTTAGGGTTTAGGGCACTGAACCATGAAAGGACCTAGATACAGTCACACATACTGCGAAGAGACAAGTTCGGGAACTGACTACCATGCCCTGGCAATCGCAACAAATCCAAACGATACGAAACATGCAAGTCAAGGCACTCAGGTTTATCGGCTCATCTGAGCTAGCACAAGGCCTCGTGCAAGTCAGGCAAATAAAACAATAACTTCTGGTGCCGGCGCTGAGGTTATGACACTTTGTGGCCTTCATTCGGGTGGTGGGCTTGCATAGCCAGCACATCAACGGTGCTTCCTTCCATGCTGGATAACACACCAAAGGTTGTGCAACCCAACTGCTGTAGATCTACATTCATGTGAGTGCCTGTCCGCTGCAGGAACTCCTCCCAGGAAATTTGGCCCCGAATGCCACGGACCTGCGCAAGCAGGCTCACTGCAGCCTCTGCCCAAACAGCTCCACCCAGAGTTCGTCTGGCCAAAGCATCATCCTAGATTCATGAATGGGAGCTCACCCAAAGAGAATCTGGCTTTACCCCGATTCGTACCCTTAGGAGTTCCTGGCCTCCCGTAGCCAGGAGCTCAACTCCGGCCAGTTAAAAAGAGCCCCGAAAGGCGTTACGCTGCCGTGGCGGAGTCCACAGGCTGCTTCCTGCATATATGGGGTGATATAGGGATTAGGGACATATTATGGATACCCTTTAACATGAAATATATGGGTGATGCAGGCGTTGTAGGGTTTAGGGTTTCCCAAAATTAGGGATAAAATTAGGGACACAATTTTGAGGGTCCCCATAATGAGGATCATAGAATTTTGGGGTTGATATTCGGTCCCCCTACATATAGAAAGCATTATATCCGGATCATACTGCAAATTGTCTTCTTGTTCTTCTTGCTACCATCGTTGCAAGTACTTGTCGTATGTATGAACACTCAGCAAGTTGGTCGGAAAGCCCAGGCGTCGAGGGTTGGTTATGTGGGGCTGTATTGGGGTTATATAGGGATAATAGAAAAGAAAAATGGAAACTACGATTTAGGGTTGAGGGTGTAGGGTTTAGTCTTTAGGGATCGGTCCGAATTCCAGTTCGAGTAGATGGACCAGGAACGGCCTTCTGCAGCTGCTTTGGCCTTAGCAAAGGCAAGCACAGTCCGGCATGAGATACAACTTTCGGATGAGACTGATGTGGGGGATACTTTCGGATAAGTTGCACAACCTCTCTTTACACGACACTTGTCATTCAGTTCTTTTCCGTTTCATTCTCCTCTGTAGTCATTTCCTTTCCTTTTCAATTCCCCCAACCCTGAATCCTAGATGGTAGTTTCCGCCCTTTTAAGAACTCCAAGGGGGGATCCTTCCACACACACATGCTCAAGCTGCGACTTGCAGTTCTGCCGCCTGCATCTCCCCGTATCGCTGCCTGAAGAAATGAGGACACAAGGTTATATAGGGGTTACACGGTACATTATACGAGAAATGGGGTTATATAAGGGTATATAGTATATTATAACATATTAGGGGTAATATTGGGGCTATATAGGGATAATGGAAAATACAACGAAATTTCTAAGACTCACTCTAACAGGGATAGATTTGTGTGCCCTGCACAAATTCAAACTGTGAGGTCATATGAGCTACTTTCTAAACTCCTAGTATCCCGCTTAATAACCCTTATAGTAGGCCCCTATACAATCCCCTATATAAGCCCCCTTTACGGAGTTCAGACTATGGCTAAGATATAGAGATTTTGGGCCATAGTAATTCCTCCCAAGGAATACCCCGGGTAGGGTCGCAATCTGAGAGTGTT